GAAAGCTGAGGAAGTACCATAATATACACAGAAGAAACACGTACCGCGTTTTAAAACAGTGCAATACAACAAGAAATAACGTTTCACAGAATGGGGAGTGCGTTAAGCAAGGAAATGTTCAAATCACCACATCGTATTTGATCAAATTTCACATAACCATGCACCTGAAAGAACAAAGTACGTCTTACAGCTCCATTTACAACATGCATTGCTACTAAGCATAGGCATCACACATCCTTCAGGGCATTATACCTCTCCTCATCAAAATTTGCATTTTTGACTATCTCCTCAATTTTTTTTCTGTTTAAGCCTTCCTCCTTCATGTACTTTTTCTTTACCTGCTTCCTACTCTTTTTCACAAAGAGCTTGCTGATCAAAGTGAAATCAAGGCCACAGAGTTCTAATGCCTTGTAGAACAGTTGTGTCTCCTTTTGTGACCAGCGTGTTGTTTGTCTCTTTGGTTGTGGTGGAAGCGACTTTTCCTTCTTCTTGCGGAAGTTCTTGTTCTGGAGGTAGTGAATGAGCTTGTTGTCCATATAGGGGCACAAATCGCAACTTTTTGATCTTTGAATGAACGCATGCAGCGGTACAAGAAAATTATTGGATGTGTGATGCTGAGAAAACGAAAAATGATGATGATAGTGTTAATTATCTATGACTGTATGTCAAATACACTTTAAAATGTTGCTCAGCGAATATTTACCGTTAGATCAAAGTCGAAGCGCTACATCTCCTAGTGGAGCCCCTTCGCGTATTTATTTTGCGAAAGGATGTGTATGGTGGTGAGATATAAACACACAGTTAGTTGTTTAAATCATTCATCTATCTTCTAATTCAGTTATAGTGTTTTATTTCTGTTCCCGTTATTTTCTGGTCATCCTCAATTGGCAGCTCAGGTGATGCGGTAAGGTACGGCATTACTGCTCCCTACCGTTCCAATGTGATCCAAGATATAGAGAAAATGTTGCAGCGCAACCAAAAAGTGTGTGATGTGGTGTAGAAATGAATAAACGCATTTTAGCAAAAAATACCGTATTATTACGGTAAGACTGCAACAAACAACGTGACAGTAACAGGATAATGATTACCGCAGTACAAGCACTTTCACACAAAGAATAAAGTAGCAGAGTGAAGCGGTGAGGAATACGCCAACCGTCTTTCTTTCGCTAAAAATGGTTCATTTTAATCACGTAATGTCTTTCAAGCAAGCGCACTTTTCTGGTTCGATAAGACTGGTCATAGAATAAAACCCTCGTCGCACGAACCATCCCATGGTAACTATTTCTGTGCCATATTTCGGCAACATTATCATGGAAGCACTGGAACGAAATATTTTTGTATTTAGGTTTGCATGGGCCTATATCCTGTTGCCATAAGGTCTATTTATTTTTGCGCACTGGAACGAACAGGTAGCTTCCCAAAAACACACCCCTAGATTCCTCATGTTCCTCAAAACTACAACTCTTCACACTCACCATTTCTCTCATGACAGCATGTTCCATCTCAACATCAACCTCGTACTTTTTATCTTGCAAAATGATGAAAAACTTTACTATGCCGTAAAAGAACATGTTTGCCCCCTCCGACAGTGTTTCTTGGTTAGAGATTGCCACATCAGCTAGTATGTTCTCGATCGGTTGAATTATAAAAGTGGTGCTCGGGTCGTATTTCTTTGGAATATCAAACTCGTTGAACGACCTGCTTGTTTTGTGTGTCCTAAGACCGTTTAAAATGGACACTATTGAGTTGTAATTGCTCCTCTTTTTGAGATACCGGCACACTCGCACAAAAAAAGAAGATTTCACTCCTTTGCTTATTTTTATGCTCGTGAGAGCTGTCAACGCCTTGTTCTTTTCAACGATGTCTTTCAGATTGTCTGACATCAAATTGCTGCTGATGGTTCGTGTGCTGTCCGTCCTTTTGTGCATTTGCTCCTTGCTAGGTTGGCCTGGCCCACTCTTATTGCCGTGGCCACCTGATTTATTTGTAGCCGAGCTCTCATCATCTCCGTCTCGGTGTTTATCTACTTTCCCGTACTCTACAATCTCGGTGGGCATTACCTTTCCGTAAAGCCGCAGATCCAGGCTATGCAGTGCTTCTGCCAGTTCGCCAGCACTCATATCATCTATTGATGGGAACTTTTCATACAAAACATTTTCGTTCTCTTCTCTGTTTATCACTTTTTCCAGCAACAGAGACAGGGGAAACTCCTCTCTACTCCAAGACTTGCAACTTATCGTGCTGGCACGATCATCACCATCCTGCTCGATGCTCATGTTTTCTTTTGTGTTGGTGTATTTTGGCCGTCCATATTTCTTTGTTACAAATTTTTCCAGCTCGTACAGCATCATCTGCTGGCTGTTTCTCATTTTTAAACTTTGCGTTTCAAATCGTAAGATTCGATTGGTAGGCATTGATACGATGTAAACACCGGCCCACTCATGGTGGCACGAATGATTAGATTGGTCCACCAGCTGTTTCTGTTTGCTTTATAATGCGCTCAAACCGAGCCGTGTTTTCACAGAGAATGCGACACCGTCAGCTCAAAACGGTTAATTCATTCAATTAGCGTTATATGCAAGCTGCAAACAAGTATTCCTCACAGTACATCCGTATTGAACGGTACTCTTCATCTTGTCCGATTGTATAGCGGTATGTCCTTTCCTAGAATACGGTTCCTCAAGCACTGCCACACCGCCCATTCTTCCAATGTTTAAAAATAAGTTCGTATGTACGATTACAACCGTTTTGTTGGGCCGTGAAAGAATGGCTTGGTTGTCTGAGAGTGTGTTGCAGTACCGGACAGCAAAAGACCTGTGCAAATAACGTAAGCACAGTCCACGGCTCCATTCGTGTATTACCAAACGCGTTTCTTAGACAAATGTGCAATAAGCCTCGGGCTATCGGCCCAATGTGCGATTCTGCCGAGTAATTTGATTAACCCTGCTTCAAACCGCGATTATTATTTTTTGCAAACAACCAATTAAAAATAAACGATCACCACCAAACTACAAGTACTCCACGAATTGCTTTTTAATGGCTCTTTCCATTAGTTCTCACAAACTCAACCACCAAACAACGTTTCACAAAAGTTTTACAAAGTTTTGTCACTTTTCTAGAATTTCTAACATATAAAAAAATTAATACCCCCGACCATATGCATGATAACAAGGGCTACTACAAGCTGTTGAATTTGAAGCCTGGCGCTTCGGTCTCAGAGGTAAAGAAGGCGTACAATTTGATGCTCATGAAGTATCATCCGGACATGGGATCAATAGCCAAGCAATTGAAGACGATAGAGGATGAGGCGGAGCGTAACAAAAAATTTGAGGAGATCAATGAGATGTGCAAGAAACTCAACGATGCGAAGACCGTGCTCACCGATTCGGAGAAGAAGGAGCTGTACGACCAGGGCGTAGACGAGAATGCGTCTGGATATGATATGAGCGGGTTTGATATTTTTGAGTTCATGGGTGGACGACGGGACAAGGGTCCTAAGAAGGTCGCGAATACAGAGTTTCATGTGAAGTTTACATTGAAGGACAGCTTCCTTGGTCGCAAGAAGACCTTCAGTGTGAAAAGGGAGGTGATCTGCACGGCTTGCGAGGGCCGTGGTGGTGAGAAGAGCACTATGTGTGCGACGTGCAAGGGTGAGGGAGAGATTGGTATAAAGCGCCAAATGGGACTCATTTTTTCGATAGACAGGAGTGCATGCCCAGACTGCCGTGGAAGCGGGCACATCGTGGAGGGGCCGCTGTGCTCCGAATGCAAGGGGCAGAGGTACTGCCAGAAGCAGGAGAGCGTGACTGTCACGTTTGACAAAGGCTTCAAAAATGATGATACGGTGGTTTGCCGAGGAAAAGGCGACGAGCACGTTGGGTGTATACCAGGTGATCTTGTGTTGATAATAAACATCAAGGAGGATCAGCACTTCAAGAGGGTAGACAACCACATCGTTACCACGGCTGATATTGATCTGTATACGGCACTCGTCGGTGGAACGATTACGCTGAGGCACATCGATGACTCGGTGCTGAATGTTAAAATAGACAGAATCAAAAATTTGAGAGAAGGCGTTATAATTGTGAAGGGTGCTGGCTTCCCCGGAGGCGACCTGCACATCATCCCGAATTTTGTCTACGGCAATGTTAAAGAAGAGGAGCTGAAAAAAGTGTTGCCCTGTCCTAAGCTTTCCAAAAACAACGGCGTAGCGTGCACCGGAACGCAGGGCAAGTTGCCCACTGAGAAGAAAAGAAATGCCAACAATTTTAAGGAGAACATATTTTCACAGTTCTTTAGAGGTTTTTAAGGCTTGTGGTGTGATAAATAAAGTAACTCTTAATTATATCAGCAACTTTCAGTTGTTAGACCCGCACAGGTTGCTTTTTTAGTACGAATTTTTCATGAACAACCAGATTTATTAAAAATGCTATAATTGCCAGTTATTTTTCTCACTGCCGTAATCTACCGAATAAGAACTACGGTCTGCTACAATATTATGGCACAGATAAACCGTTAAATTATAAGTAGTGAAACGGTGAACATGAAGAGAACACCGTTTTGTGTTGCAATAATTTCGTGCAGTAGTTTAGTTCAATGAACAGAAATACGAATTGCACGGCTTGGTGATATTCTTCAAAAATTTATAAATGACATTCCAAGGAGAAACCAAAGGACAAAAAACCTGAAGACTAGTTCTGATATGTTCTCACCTCACGTGCAAATTGTTGAAGCTTACAAATCTGCCCAGATCATTGGTAGGTTATCATGATTTCTTCACAAAATTCTCAGTATTTTCTCCAAT